TCACACTTTAATGACATCGAATGCCTTTCACACTAATCATTCTGTAAAATAATTATACAAGATTATTTAAGAGTTAACTCTATTAAAATCATTTATGAAAGCATTTATTCTTTGTTTACTTCCAAAAAAACTTAATAAAGGCATAACAAATATCTACAGTCATGGCGAAAAATATTGGTACCCCTGCATTTCTGTCAGATAATGCACCACTTCACTCATAAAATGTATGCAATTACAAATGTTTAGGCATTATAAAGTTTATTTCTTTTCCTTGCATTGGTATGACACAAAAAAGTGGAGGAAAAAAAAGCCAAATTTGACACATTCCATGCAAAACTCCAAAAATGGACTAGACAAAATGATTGACACCTTCTCCAAATTGCAAGAAATAATTGCATTCCAATTTTTTGTGGAAAAGCATGGAGAATCTCAAGGTTACAAGTCCATCTCTAGAGATCTTAATGTTCCTGTGTCCACTGTGCGCAACATTGTCAAGACAATTAAAGGCCCATGGCACTGTTGCTAATTGCAACAAAGGATTGTTTGGATGGTGGATAAAGACCCTCGATCAACTTCCAGACAAATTCAAGCTGACCTTCAGGCACAAGGTACAACTGTATCAGCTCGCACTATACGTTGCCATCTGAATGAAAAGGGACACTATGGTTGGACATCCAGGACGCCTCCACTGCTGCCATAGAAACAGGAAAAAAGCCAGATTGGAGTTTGCCAAAACTTACCCGAGGAAGCCAAAATCCTTTTGGGAGAATGTGCTGTGGATAGACAAAACAAAATTACAGCTTTTTGGTAAAGCCCTTCATTCTGCTGTTTTCAGAAAAAGAAATGAGGCCTTTAAAGAAAAAATACAGTCCCTACAGTCAAACATGGTGGAGGTTCACTGGTGTTTTGGGGTTGCTTTGCTGCTTCAGGCACTGGATGTCTTGACTGTATGCATGGCATTATGAAATCTGAAGACTACAAAATAATTCTGGGGTGCAATGTAGGGCCCAGTGTTGGAAAGTTGGGTCTCCGTCAGAGGTTATGGGTCTTACAGCAGGACAATGACCCAAAGCACATGTCAAAAAGCACCCAGAAATGGGTTTCAGACAAAGTGCTGGAGAATACTGGACTTGCCAGCAATGAGTCCAGATATAAATCCCATAGAGCACCTGTGGAGGGATCTCAAAGCAGCAGTTGGGAAAGGGAACCCTTCCAATCTGAGAGACCTGGAGCAGTTGGCGAAAGAAGGGTGGTCCAAAATTCCTGTAGAGAGGTGTAAGAAACTTATTGATGGTTACAGGAAGCCATTGATTTCAGTTATTTTTTCCAAGGGCTGTGCTACCAAATATTAATTGAGGGTGCCAATAATTTTGTTCAGTCCATCTTTGGAGTTTTGCATGGAGTTTGTCAGATTTGGCTTTTTTTCTCCATACTAATACAAACAAAAGGAATACACATTTGTAATTGCAAAACTTTTCTGCACAAAGTGGTGCATTATCTGACAAAAATGCAGGGGTGCCAATATTTTTGACCATGACTTTATGTACACTTGGCCCATCCCACTGTGTGACACCTTCAGCTAACCTGTCACCTTATGTTCTCAGAATATCTAACTCTTCTCATCCATTTAAGGCCTGTTAGTATGGACCTTTGGAATCACCTCATTATTATGACTCAATTATGTAAAGATATAGTATAGGTGATTTATGTAGGTTTTCAGACTTATGTTTAATGACATTCTTTTTTTACAGAATTAATGAACACGTGTAGAGAAAATACCTCCAATTTAACTCAGGGGTCTATTCACAAAGCTGCTGAAGGATCTGGCCGTAGCTTCGGCCGATCCTTCGGCTGGCTTCGGCCCCAGGACCCCTTCGGTTCAGGAAAACCGAGGGGGTGCTGTACGGGCTATTCACAATAGCCCGTACAGCTCCCGATCAGGGCCGAGCAGCTCAATCGAGCGCTGAGCCACTACTTAGCTCAGTTTACAGGGAGCTGGCCAAAAGAGCACACACTTGACATGGTCAATGTATTTCAGGCTGTTCCTTCATTGTACATGAATAGGCTGGTGCAGTCCTTGTCCTGTATAGCTTCAACTGCAGAATAAAATGTATGTGAGAACCTGGTTATCTTGTCTGACAGGGATGCTGAAATGTAGAAAATGGAAGCAGAATAGAGAATTATTTGGTAGGTAAGACAGTTCATGCCTAGATATCCCAGCTGTGTATTTAGTTGTCTGCTTACACTTTAGCTGTATCAGCCTATTGAATAAATTTACTTGCTGCCTGACCTTAAAAATTAAAGTGGCAAGATAATAAGATATACTTTTACGTCCAAAGTTTGAGTCTAGAACATTATTAAAAGCAAAGTAAACTTTGGTTTGGCCTGTACCGTAAAATATGAAATTGGTTATGTTGTTGTAGATTACTCAAATTTGCTGGAATGTAAACTTCTATGAACATTCCTTTATTTCCATTCTAGGATATTTCTGCCCTTTTGTCACCCTCAGAGAGTTGTTGGTTTATGGTGTCCTTCCTTAGTTATGATAGCTAAATATGTATCCAGCAAATAAGTTATAGATAGGTGCTTTAAAATGTTATGTTACAAAGGACAAAAAAGCTTAAACTAGGAAATACAAGTTCAACTGTATCTTATCTAGGTCTTATCTAGAACCCCTTATATTTAAAAGTTTAAATTATTTAGACACAAAGCACTGTAAACCTTATTTTTCTATAAGAATATCTTGCAAACAAATATTTATCACTAAACATTAGGGATGACCAGATACCAGTATCTGTACCAATGTATTTTCCAATTTTCTGCATTTTCACAAGAACTACCAGGGTTGCAGCGGTTATAAAACTATATCTATCTGTATGTATGTATATATATATATATATATTGTATATATGGTTACATATGGTATATATACCATAAATAACCAAAAAAGGATGCACAAATCTCAGGATCCCCAAAGCCAATGCTCCTTAAAAATGACAGCTGCCTTTTTGAGTTCTTCTCTAGTCTAGTCTTTCTAGTCTTTCAAAGGAGCGGTAAAAGAATCAGCACTTGTACCTGTACCAAGTATGGTATCTGAACATACCTACTCAAAATGATCTAGTGTACTGAAAGTATGATGTATTGATGACAAAAATGCTACACACATTTTCAAGGAGTGCTCCACCCAGGCCCTCAATGTCCAACAAAATATCCAGACACTTCAGAACTTTGGGTGGAGTCTCAATCTACAAAAATCAGTGTGTGATCTGACCCACCACTTTTAGTACCTAAGCTTAGTCTTGGACATGGCCCAGGCCCAGGTATGTCTACCCCGGGAAAAGGTTCTGACCAGTTCACTCCTGGGTTTAATGGTGGTCTCCTTCAAGATGGTGATGTTTGCCCAGTTCCACTTCAGGCCCCTTCAGCTTAACATTCTGCATGGGACAAGTTGCCCCAAGTTCTGAATCACATCACCTGCCTGTCTGTTTAAATCAAGAACTCTCTAACCTGGTGGCTGATCAGGGAGTTCTTTATCTTGATGATCTGGGAGATAGTTAAGATGGATGTCAACCTATTGAGCTGGGGAGGAGATTTTAGGATGGAAACAGTCCAAGGGACTTGGTCAGTAAGGGAATCCAGGCTTCCTCCATTAACATCCTAGAACTGAGGGCGACTCACCCATCTCTCTAAAGGTGAACAAGCCAACTTAGACAATGCCACGGTGATGGCAAATATCAATCAAAAGGTAAGTTCTGGCCTGCTCCATATGCCTGGCATAGTTAATAATTGGCAAGTTGATTTTCTCAGTTGTATGCACCTGAATGCGGGGAAATGGTCTCTCAACCCTGACATGTTTCAAAGGATATGTCACTGGTGTGGAATGCAAGTTGTGGATCTCTTGGCATTGCATTTCAACAAGGTGGACAGGTTCATGGCCAGGACGAGGAATCCTCAGGTCTTTGTGGTGGAGCCACTGATGACTCCTTGGAATCAATTTAATCTGATATACACCTTTTCTCCAGTACAAATTCTTCCTCATCTACTACACAGGATTGCGATGGAGGGTGTTCTGGTGATCCGGGTGACTCTGAACTGGATCAGAAGAAGCTGATACTTAGACATTGTCTATCTGCTTCAAGACTCTCTAAGGGTGCTTCCTAACTGGTTCACTCTAGTGCCTCAAGGACTGTTGTTCCTTTAAGCTTCTCAGTAACTGGCTTTGGCAGCTTGGTTGTGATGCACCTATACACCCATCAAAGGCCAATTTTCAACCTTGGCTATTCTCTTTTAGAAGCCTATGGTGCCAAATTCTCTTCTCTAGTGAAACAGAAATTGGTGTGTATGTAGCGCACTTAATATGTGTGATCTCAGTGTCAGATTGGGGGAGGTGGCAGCACTATTTGTAAGTGTGTAGCTCTTGGGAGACAGGTCAAGGTGTCCTGTGTGGTGCTAGGAAAAAAAAGACCAACCTAGTGCAATCACTGACGGCAAGGAGATAAAATGACAAAAGGGGCATTTGTGACAGTGTGGAAGTTAGTAAACTACACAGTAAAATGGACTTTTCTTGTCGAATCCTTGGTCAGTTTGGGTGATTGGTCATACAAATCAGCAGCTCTGTAAGCACAAGAGAGATGATCAGGGCGCTAATCATGTGACATTGTTGATATATATTAAATAAAATATGGGAAAGTATCCTCACATAAGTATGCAGTAAAATGTGCCTTTCAGGTGATGTGGTGATACTGTGTGTGTGGGGGTCCCAAAACCTGTAGGATGCAGCAGTGGTGGTGTTCTCTCAGGTGTGCTGTTTGCCAGTGCAGAGTGGCAGCTGGATTGTGCTGGGTGAAGCAGGTGGTCATTTGGTGTTTTTTTGAGGCAGGACGGTAGTTGGATGGACTTTTGTAAGGAGAATAGAGCCTCACGCTGAACAGCCTAGCAGAGCGGCAGCTAAAAGGTGCTGGAGAAAGCTGGAGCCGCCTCACAGCGTGATCTTTCAACAGCTGAAAGATGCCGGTGGAAAGATGAGGAGGGAGCTGCACGCTTACTGGTCTGGCAGAGTGGCAGCTGGAAGGTGCTGTGCAGAGGGGGAAACTCGCTACCAGGAGATCCTGTGTGTGAACCATGTGAGGGGGAGAGCAAAGGACCCTGGTGGTGTGGGGTTGTGCAAGGGTGGAAGGCAGTGGAAGCAAAGTGTTTCAAGGATATTAAATCCTCTTTCTCAAGGATATTATTTATTACCTGAGGATGCCAATCTGTAAGGCTTTTATCTATTAAAGACATCAGGTATAGTCTCAGTCATGCAATTTTACACAAATAATCAACCTAAATCATTGCAGCACATACTATCAAATGTTTCTATAGATAATAGGAGTTTCCTCCAATGCTTACAATTTCATCACTCTCTTTAAACTCCGTTTAGGTCTGTCAGCTAGGCCTTTGCTAGTAACTGCATATTAGATTGTATAGTTTGTTGCCTAAATTTATATCTTGAGATATGACTTGCTATGTAAGCGTCCACATTAACAAGTATTTAATCTGGACAGTTAAGGCACTTGAGTTCAAACTAAACACAAGAACAGAAATGCATTGGTATATAGCGAAGAAACATAAATATAGCAAACTAGCAATCTATTGATATACAATGAAATTATTTTTTTAAATAATTCAATTTTTATTATTTCAAAATAAACAAGGTAACTTTAACATCTATTCGTTTTACATCAAAGTACATTTTAACAGTTTCATCACACTCTTTAAACTCCATTTAGGTCTGTCAGCTAGGCCTTTGCTAGTAACTGCATATTAGATTGTATAGTTTGTTGCCTAAATTTATATCTTGAGATATGACTTGCTATGTAAGCGTCCACATTAACAAGTATTTAATCTGGACAGTTAAGGCACTTGAGTTCAAACTAAACACAAGAACAGAAATGCATTGGTATATAGCGAAGAAACATAAATATAGCAAACTAGCAATCTATTGATATACAATGAAATTATTTTTTTAAATAATTCAATTTTTATTATTTCAAAATAAACAAGGTAACTTTAACATCTATTCGTTTTACATCAAAGTACATTTTAACAGTTGAATTCCAGCATTAAGTGTAGGCGGGCAGGATTCACTCCCGTCCAGACGTTTTGCCGGCCTGCGGAGTGGTACTGTCCGTCACATGCTTCATACAGTAAGTGTTACCAAAATATAAAAGGAAAGTATGCACTAAAAAGAAAAAAAATAAATAAAAAGAAAAAGGAAGAAGAGAAAAAAAAAAAAGAAAAGGGGGAGAAAGTAGGGAAAGGGAAGAAGGAGAAATATGGAAGGGGGATTTGAAGGGGGAGGGCCTTCCGATTTTCTTTGTAAGGTTCTTAACGTTTCCTATGGCGCTAAATTTTACTATTTCCTATGCCCCTCTCACTGTAGAAGTCTACCGCTTCTTCATTTGTTTTCCTAATAGTATATTTTCTTCATGTTGACGGTTTTCTCCCATAGCCTATAGAATTCTGGATGATCTTTTAAAGGCAATCCACGGTAGCAAGGTGGATTCATATTTTTTATAGTTGCCTCTCCGGATAGACGTTAATTCTTCCATCAGTCTGTAGTATTCTACTCTACTATGCCATTCGCTTATAGTTGGAGTGTTAGTTTGATTCCAATATAATGGAATCAGAGTCTTCGCGGCATTCAGTAGTGGTACCACCAGTGATCTTTTGTAGGCCCTCATCGGGAGGTCCATGAAATGGAAAAGACAGGCCATTGGGTCCAAAGGCAATATGGCCTTGGTGATCCTCTCTATTTGAGCTATTACCTCGGCCCAATAGGGTTGTATTTCAGGGCAC